TTTAAAAAGCCTTGCTTCAGCCCATTACCTCGTTTTGAAACAGGATTGCTCCTCTTCGTGGGGCCTGCCTACTGCCTTAGCGTCACTGTGCAGAGTCTCTTGACTTGATCTTGAAAGTGCTTCAGAGTCATGGAATCATAAATACACCTTTATGTACCGGAGACTTGGTTCCAGGACCATCCTTTTACAAAATTATTTAATTCTCTCTAATTCTTTAAAAATCAATCCCCAAGTCCCAACATTGCCCCAGCTTACTAAGAATAATGCCCAGAAAAGAAAAAAAACTGCCTCCACGATAAAAATTTGTCTATAGTCACCAACTGAATTAAACACATGGGATAAACATACAGCCTCTAATTTTAAGTTTCGTTAATCATGGACAATCTCATGCTGTACGTTCTCAAAGTATCATGCAATTCCTTTACAAGAAAGCACCAACGTACAATTGAACAGCTTAGATGATGGATTATTTATTGCAATGAAAGAAGTTTTGTCAGCTTTATGCTCAGATCCACGTAGATTCTGCTATAGATTATCTTTCAGGGCGAGGACGTTAGGGAAGAATTTTTATTCTAGATGCAAAAAAAAAAAAAAAATACATATTACTTGGCAGAACTCAAACGTCTTAGTGTAAATTGCATACTACATTTAGATTTTAGATTTTTACATACAACATTGTTTATATTCCAGATGAAATTACTTATACTAGATGCATTTGCTTAATTATTGTACATATTAAAATGTATAAAATATTCACCAACACACTCAAAAACATAAATCAAGGGAAAGGAGAAATTCCTGACTGATTGTCCTATTTAGAAATACTGACACACTAGTTTATCTTATGAATGATCATATCCAGGAGCTTAACTAATAACCTGCACCATTGTCTATTCTGCAATAAAAAGAAAATTTGAGCACAAACATGAATGAAGAATGAGCAGATGAAAATACTTATATTGTTCTGAAAAATTTTTTAACTCTAAAATATCCTGCTTTTCAGAAATCAGTCTTCTGAGAATAACCTGTAAACTCATTAATTTACTCAAAAATACTAACTTTAAAAATAAAAAAAGATAAAATATCAGAACTCATGTCTTAAGAATAGAATATAATACTTTTAGTTATTCTAAGATCATGCTCTTAATACTTCAGTCGAGAGCTCATTATTATAGATTTGAAAGCTTTATGAAAGTGCTTTGCCCTTTTTCTAGGTAATATTACTGAAAATTGGTTTTCAGATAATCTACAGGCTTTACATATTCACTAAAATTGCACCATAAAATAAATCATTTTGTGCTAAGACGCTAGGTTTCTGTGAGCACAGTATTGAAAAATATGCAAAAAACAAAAAGGACAAAGAAAATAAAGTATAGTTTTCAGACTTCTCTAATATAAAATTTGTGATTATTCAAATTTGGCCTGGAGCACTGTTTATCTTTTTTGCCTTATCTTTTAGGAGAGGGAAAGGAGGGGAGGAAGGAGAACAGCTTGTTAAGCAAATGAAGAGCGCCCTGCCTAGCGCTGGACGAAGACTGTTTTGAGGCTCTTGAGAAGTGTGCAAACACTGTAACCCCCGCACTGACAAAGGCCACCCTGCTCTGCTCCGCTGGACCTTTGATATGGAAACTAGAAACCGTTGCTGCTTTTAATAAAGCAGGATCTCTAGACAGCAACCCTTGGGTCCTGCTGGTTTATAGAGTAAATACCCTTCTACTTTTTCAGACCACACTTTCCTCCTAATAAATCTGGGTCACAGGTGGTTTTTAGTGCTTTGTCTCTTGTGCCTCCCTTGCAAGGCACCAAGGAGATTTAGCCCATTGGCCTCCCAATCTGGCAGATCATTAAAATCAGTGGAGGTTAGATGGGTGGGTATAAGGAAGAATTTCCAGAATTGCAGATATTTTTTCTGTCTGAGAAAAAATCCTTAAGCTTGCCTTTGAACTTGGAAATTTCTAGATTAGCATTTTTTTGTTATTTGCAATATGTGAATAGTGGCTGTGCTATATCCATGAGCTATAAGTTTACTTGTACATAGTAATTTTGTGGAAAATATTTTGTGGCCTCCTAAATAGATACATATAAAGTCAATTGGCCTTCTTGAAGATGTTATCTCTAATAATTTGATAGTGGACTGAGTTCTAAGTATACAAAGGCTCAAGAAACTCCAACGATTGGCCCAAGGAGGAATTGGGCAAACAGGAAATTTTCTGTGGAAAGGATGGCCTCAGTCTATCAGGAATGAGATGGCATGCTCAAAAAGGGTAAATGAAGATAATTAATCAAAGGACTACTTAAAAGTGTGCGGTCAAGGTTACAGGTAGGTAAAAAGGAACGGTGGAGAGCCAGTATCACCACTAGACTTGAGAGGCAAGAAAGGAAGCAGTTATGTTACTGGGTCCCAGAGAGAGAGAGAGACAGAGCTGATGGAAAGCTACACCATAGGAGGATTTTCCTGTTGAGAACCAAGTTGCTGACAGCCCATGGTCTGCCATGGAATAAAATCTCCAACTTCTTTCCCTTACACTCTCCAATCTCCTGCCAGAGCCTCCCAATGGCCCAGACCCACCAGAGCCAGAGGACAGGGGCGTAGTGGATGTAGCCTGTAGAAGTTGGCCTACCAACACCCAGAGCAGGATGGAGATGCCTATGGAATGGGCCTGGAGGAGTGAAACTGTCCAATACACTCAGATTTCTTAAAATTTGAGTAGTCTGAGAGTGGTATATAAAAGAAAAATCACTGAGTAAAGGCGTATGGAGAGCAGTGTCAATGTTTCTGAGAGGTGATTTGTGAAATCTTGGCAGTTTGTTGATCAGCCTAACTTCTTTAAGGAGGAACGCAGGACACCTCTGTCCTGAATATATGAGACGTCTTTTAATTCCTAAAAAAATCAGCCTCCTCACTCACTCCTTCTCCCCTATCCACTTGCTCAGAGAACTAACATTGCCCACATATTTGTCATGGAACAGGCCAACATGTTGTGGTCAGATTCATAGATCTGAACCCTTTGTAGATCTAAACATCTCTTTACTGGTTCCAAGGTGACAGATTGTATCGTTGCTTGACTAAACCCTTCTTATGCGATCAGTGTACATGCATGGGGTAGGGGGTGTGTAGTTAGGGGCAGTGCAAATTCTTGTAAAGATAGTGTCTTGAAAGGTCTTCAAAAGATTAATTAATCCCAGGCTCTAGATCCACCACAGGAAAAGCACTTATTTATCCTCTGGAGGGCCATTGTCTCTGGAATTTCTTTCATCCAACAGAGTCCTGGTTCATCCACGTTCATCCTTGGGCAAGAGAAAATTGCAACCTACGCAGGCATCTTCGTTTTGCTTGGACCACTACCAGAGCAATGTAAACACCATCATCAATTGTCATTTACTAAACCCTGACTCTACAAGGAGTTCTGCAGAACTGATATTTCCTACTAGGAGAGGAAAATCTTTGTTTTTTAAGCAGCTTTATTGACACATAACTAGCATGCCACAAAATTGCCTCATTTTAAGTGTACAATTTGATGATTTTTATAAATTTACAAAGTTGTGAGACCATCACCACAATCTGATTTTAGAATATTTCCATCATCCCATAAAGAAAAAGTCCTTGATTTTTAAAGTTGTGAAAGAAGAACAAATAAATGGCTCCTTTTTAAGAATACAATGTAAAAATATAATTACACATGCTCTAATGTGAACAGTTATTATTTAATTCATGGATTTTTGTAGTCAGAGTAATATGTAGAATTCTTGGTTATCACTGAATTGGTGGAATTTTTGGGTAAATGTGGTTGTTGTGAGCGTACCGCTAAACCATGGCAATGATGGAAATTTTAACCGAATTACTTTTATGTTGCATCAGAATTTGCCCATGCTGAAGAATTTTTTTCCTACGAGAGGAAAAAGCAAATATTTAAAAGTTCATGTCTCTACAAATAATTTTACAAGGCGCTCTTTCATCATTCTGAGAAATGAAATGGTTTCCCTTTATTCCTGCTAAAGAGCGACAGGGCTTGGAATCTGTTTAGATCAATACTCAAGTCAGAAAGGACAAGACCAGTTGCTGAAACGAAACAACTGTTTCCAACAGTGGTCTATATATCAGACCTATATATATAACAGGTCTATATATATCAATTATATATCAAAATTGGAAATGCTGCTCCTTCAAAAAAAGACCATCAATCCAAGCAACTTTCTCAATCAGGCAGTTACTCAGTGGAGGCCTGAACCTCATAAGAAAACTACCTTATAGTTTCTGCGTTGGCAACTGAAATTCTCTTTTCTGTGTGTGTTAGTTTCCTAAGGCTGCCCTAACAAAGTACCACTAACTACATGTCTTAAAACAACAGAAATTTATTCTCTCACAGTTCTAGAGGCTCAAAGTCTGAAATCAAGGTGTCAGCAGTGCCATGCTCCCTCTTTGACTCTGGATAAGATCCTTCCTTGACTCTTCCTATCTTCAGGTGGTGGCTGCCCATCCTTGGTGTTCCTTTTTTTTTTTTTTTTCGCTGCAGAAGATTGGCCCTGAGCTAACATCTCTGCTCATCTTCCTTTATTTTGTATATTGGATGCTGCTACAGCATGCCTTGATGAGTGGTGCGTAGGTCTGCGCCCAGGATCCGAACCTGTGAACCCCAGGCCACTGAAGCAGAGCACACAAACTTAACCACTACGCCACTATGCTGGCTTCCTTGGTGTTCCTTGGCTTGCAAATGCATCACTCCAATCTCTGCTCGTGTCATCACCTGGCCTTCTCCCTGTGTGTCTCTGTCTTCACATGGCATTTGCCTCTTCCTATGAGGACACCAGTCGTATTGTGTTAAGACCTGCCCTATTCGAGTATGACCACATCTTAACTTGATTAAATCTGCAAAGACGTTTTTTCCAAATGAAGTTATATTCATAGGTGATGGGGGTACGACTCCACCATAGCTTTTGAGGACACGTAATTCAACCCACAGTAATGTGGTTCTTCAGGAATCATTCATTCCATGAATATGCCTTGGTTGTAAATCTTAAAAACTTTCCAAAGAGCAAATGAGTTTCTCTGAGGTCACATGTTGAGATTGAAATGAGGTTTTCAAAGGTCAGGTCTCTTCTCAGATCATGTAGGTCCTCCCGCATGTAAAGAAACTAAAAAAGAAAAAAATAATAATCTAAAAGAGAAATGTGTAGTCTTTTTCTATGCATTCATTGAATAATTTTGTGGAACATACTTCATGTTTACTGGAATAAACATTCCTCACTTGTTCTCTAGTTTTTCACACAAAACACACATGTAAATATTCTGAAAGGAAATCATATGACATTTCTTTCTCTTGTAATTATGCTTCATAGATGTAGAGTATAGTTTATTTTCCCCTTTGAAGTGCAATATGGGTTTGAAAGTGTAGTTTCTATGGAAACATGCACCACAGGTGGGGTTAGAGGAGTCTTACATGGCCCGTGCTCTTGAGTTTTGTCTGTCTTCCTACTAGTCATAGTTTTCCTCGTTAGCCTTCTCTAGGCTTTATTTACCCAGATTTGCCTTACAGTCAAATATTAATTTTATGATTTTGACAAGTGTCTAACATATTTCTACATCTCAATGGTGACAGGATGTTAAACAGGGCTCTTCCTGTTTGGGTTTAGCTGAGGCCCAAACTAGAGGTGACAAATGTACTACTACCTCACACCTGAGGTGCTAACCAACTTCAGCTGGACTTGTAAAGGAGAGGGCTTTTGCTACCCTTAGCTAGCTACCTGATTCTAGCTTACACAGAAGCTTGGAAAGCTCAAGAAAGGGGTTTCCAGGAGGATTCTTTAGAGAGACGCGTCGGAGTACTTGTGACTCTCTCTGGTGAGGAGAGGGTTGAGAGGCATATCCTTGTTACCTCAAGTCAAGTGAGAGGGGCTTCGAGGAGGCCACACAGAGTTTCATAAGTATCTCCTGGAACTGTGAGGGCATGGTGGACTGTAGTCATGCCTGAGAGTCTCATAAGGACAGGTGGCTGGCTGAAGTGACCTATGGTGACAGAGGAGAGTGCTGCTCTTGGAAGCAACTACAGGGCCTACAGACAGAGGCCCAGATGGGGTCACATACAAGAGATATCTGGATTTTCCTTGGGTTCTTCCCATCAAGGCTGTTGGAGGGTCAAGGAGGTCTCAGCAGAGAGTCTGGAGGTGACTTGTTAGATAACCAGGAGAAGTGACAGGTGACTAGCTGAAGAAGTGGAGAGATGTAAATCAACATCTTTTCTGATGAGGCATCTCAGAAGAGCCCAAGAAAATATCCATAAGAGAAAAGAGTCACTGTAAGCACTTGCCGAACACAGAGAATTAAAAAATCATGGACATTTCAGGGGAAGGAAAGAGCTAGCCCCGCGAAACAGCTTTGCATGGCTGTGAGGAAAAAGGATAAGGCTGTTTGCAATTCTTAAATATAAGTTCTACTTTGTTTTTAAAAATCACCCAAATATCTTTACGTGCAGTGGGCATTCTTCTGTCAGGGGACTACTGCTTGTGGAAATTGCCTTCCTATCACGTGGAGAGAGCCTACGGAGGTCATTTACAAAATGCTTTGGCCCATGTATCACACACATGGACACAGACCCCCAACATCTGAATACTAAAGAGCACTTCTCTGCTTGTTTTAAGCATTATCTGTATTAATTAGCGAGCATCCATTAAAGGCGGTGTGCAGAGAACTAGAGCTGTAATTGGAAACCTGAGTTTCAACTAGGTGGTGATTTACAACAGAAAAAGCAAGGATTTGAGATTTTCTTGACTGTTCTTCAACTACCTCTGATCAGAGAGGGGACATACATACCTGATGCAGTTTATACCTCTCTGTCTTCTGTGCACCATCATTAATAGTGTTCTCTAGGACTCAGAATTTAGGCAGCAGCTCACAAAAAGAACTCAGATCCTAGAGTGCTTCTCTTGGTGCCAGAACACATGTTTTAGGGTCAGAAAAAAGATGTTCTCCCTTGAGAAACCATAGAGACATTTTAGTCTTGTCCTATACCCCATTTCTTAGAACATTTCTACTTAGATGTTATGACCTTATTGCAGTCTGTAATTTTCTTTTTACGTCTCCTTCAAATTAATTCCCCTTTCCAACTTCCCTATTCTGGTAAATGACAGAACTATTTTCTTTCATTACTAGGATCAAAATCATAGTCATATTTTACTTCTTCTACTTTGTCCTTAATGTCCAAGAGCTACCCTTCCTATTTTTCAAACAGCTGTCATAGCTGTATCTTTCTTTGTAGTCTTATAAAGTATCACCTGTTGCCCAAATTTGTTCAGTCTTCAAAATTGTTTTCCCAACTTCCAAGTTCTCCTCTCTTTTGGTTTATCCCACACACAGAAGGAAAATTACTCTCCCTTAAAACACAACTTCTGCTTATCACTCTTTTGTTTAAGAATATTCTGTGGCTTATCGCTGCCCTCGGAATAAAGATAAGACTTCAGACAGAACTATAGCACCATCTATGATGCAGCCTATGTGAACCTTGTTAATAATACCCTTTATGCCTATTCTGTAAAATGCCTTCATATCCTCAAAGGCAATTTCATTCATTCATTAAAAAATGCCTGAAATTCTGCTAGATGTTGGGGATGCAGCAATGAAAATAAAAGACACAGTCCTTGAGCACACATCACTTGGAATCTAGAGGGGCATGCACACAAGCAAAACGAGTTTCATGTTGGGAAGTACAAAATACTATAGGATAGGAGTGGTGCATGATATCCAGTCTTGGATGATCAAAGAATGCTTCTCAAACAAAGAGACATTTACACTGAGGCCTGAAGGTAAAGCAGGAATTATGCAGGTGAAGAGCGGGTAAGTGGTACAGCAAGAAGAAAGCAAAGAATGTGTGAAGGTCCAGAGGTGAGATTGAGCACGGCCTATTTAAGTAACTGAGAGAAATTTTGCTCTGTTGGAATGTAGTATAGTGGTGCCTAATAAAGAAGAGGATAAATCCTGCAAGCCAAGATAAGAAATTTGGACTTTATTCTACAAAAAATGTAGAGCTATTGGAAGTGTTTAAAGAAGGAAAATACAATGAGCAGATTTGTCATAGAAAGTACACTCTGGCTGAAGGGTGCAGAATGGGCCAAGGAGAAAGGCAGAGGAGCAGGTATGAGGATGCTTCTAGAACCCAGATGTGAGTTTATGGTGGCCTAGACTTGAGTAGTGGCAGTGAGGATGAATATAAATCAATGAAATTGAGAACTACTTGAGATAAAAATGATAGGAATTCTAATTAATTGTAAATGTGGTAAATCAAGTTTGAATCCCAAGTTTCTGTTTTGGGCAATTGCAAGAGTGATGATATCATTTACTAAAATAGGAAACACAAACAGAATGGATTTGAGGTTAGATATGATGGTTTAATTTTTAACTTGTCGATCGTGAGGTGTCTAGAAGACTTCTAAGTGAAGACACATGATTGATAGATGAGGAAGTGGCCCTGAAGCTCAGGAGAAAGATCTGGCCTCAAAATTTAGTCTTGGAAATCATGAAGCTATAGGCAGTGACTGAAGCAACAGGAATGGATGAGGCCACTAAGGGGCAATGAGAGGAGAAGCAGCCTCTGAAGAGCCGTAGCCCTGAAGAGCATCAGCATTTACAAGAAGACATAGCATATAGACTCTGCAAAAGAAGGTGAAGTAGAAGATAAGTAGATTGCAGTAACATAGAAGGGTCACTAAAAGGAGAGTTTCAAGAAGAGACCAACATTGTTATGTGCTACTAAGACCCTAAGTGAGATAAAGACCCAAAGCTGCACAATAGATTTAGCAATGAGGTTGTGCTGGTTATCTTCTCTTTGCCCCCATCCTTCTTCATCTTGCTTCATGACCCAGGATTTTGACCAGTATGGATGGCCTCAATGAACTCTATTGCACTCTCCCTTCTGTTTGAATTAGACCAATGGTGAAGACTGGCAGGAGATGAGAAGGAGGGAAGAAGGGAGGAGAATCAATGGGGATATTTTCCCCTCAGCTGCTTCTCTGTGGATTTGCTCCAGGCTGTGCATTCCTTGATTTAATGTCACCTGTCAGGCAGTTCTCTCTGCTTACTCCTTTTGGGCTAAGGTGGGAAAGAGCTTTCTGAGTTTATTAGCTCTGGAGTACTGTACTATCCCTCAAAGGTTCACTATAGTCTATCAATGGCTTTTAGTAGCCTGTTTACTATATTCTTTTCAAATTATCCAAACTTGAATGTCCCATCTCTTTGTTGCTGGAATCTTGATTGACATGATGATCATTTGTGACTTGGGTGAGGGTCCTTTCGGTGGTGTGGTGGAGGCAGAAGCCAGATTACAGATTGATTAAATAATAGATGTGAGATGAGGAAAAGGAAATGACAAGTAGTGTATTCTTTCAAAAAGGTTAGCTATTAAAGGGTGCAGAGGGAAGGGGTAGGGGCCACAGAGAAACATCCAGAGAGTTTTTATATATTTTTTTCCTTTTATGTTGGGAAAACTTGATCATTTCATTATTTGTGAGAATAAGTCAATATAGAAATAGAGATTGAGGATGCAGTAGAAGAAGAAGCTAGCAATTGGAGTATGGTCCCCGAAGAAGTTGAGAGGAAATAGGATCCCCCTAATAGAAGGACTGGTCTTAGACAGAGGAGACTCTGTTCCTTAGTCATAGGAGGGAAAGAGGAAAGTATGGTGGGCACGATTGAGGCTATTCTTCTTTGATGGCTTCTCGTTTCTTTGTGAAGCTGAAAGCAAGGTCACTTGAAAGTGAGAGTAAGTGATGGGACCGGAGATTTAAGAAGAAAAGAGATGTTTCTAAATATTTTGAAAAAAAAAATAGGATTGTCAGAACTCTTTGAGAACCCGGTTGAGTTTGCAAATCATGCATTTAGGCTGGCACTAAGTTGCAGTTAGTCTGCGAGTTTGTATGAGATTTCTCCAGAGGCACTGAGCAGTGTAGGTATTACTTCAGAAAAGGTGAAGAATTAGATTGAGCCAAGGCTGGGTTTTTCCAAGTACTAGACTAAAAGGCAGTAGCAGAAGAGGTTTGAGGAATTAGGAAGTGGGTATTTGAAATAATGGAGCGCGGAATTTAATTAGGGTAGAGGAAATAGTGATAGGGAGAGAAGAGAGGAGTCGAGAGACTAAATGTCCTTGAATGACTGAAGATAGATGTGGTGGGGCTAATAGAATGGGATTGGGGATCAAAGGGCTCGATGCCTGAATTTAAATTTTAGTATAGCTCGTCAGCTGAATACTGACAAGGTCTGGCGTGAGGCCATGACGGTAGGTGGCTGATGTGGAAAAAACATAAAGGGTATTTGGACATGAGGCTTGATGGGTCTTCCATGGCGATGGTCGCCACTCTTCATGTGATGTCTTCTTTGCATAACCTGAGCTTGATTGTTTTTCCGTACATATTATTTACAATTAACACCTCCTAAACCAGTTATCAAATTGCAGTACATCACAAATATACATAGTAATGTTTAAATGTAAGAGGGTTATTCTATAGTGTACAATTCAATTCCAGTTTTCTGAGCCATTGAAATCCTTTACTTAAACATATTAACTTCAAAAATATATTTTTAAAAAGAGAAAACAGGTGGGTTTCTTAAACCAGGCTGCCCAGAAAAGTTCCTCATTTGGTTTTCTAATTATAAAGCACAGAAGGAAGGTTTGGTTTAAAGTTTTAATTTACCAGAGCTATACAGGATTAGTTTTTCTACATGCAATCCAGTATTTGACAGTTGTTAAATATTTGCTTTAACCATGAATTTATTTTGAGTACAACACAATTACACCTACTATCTCTGCATAACTGTTTTAGGAATTGGCATACACTCATAACATTTAACTAGAACAATGAAGGATTTAAAAATAGAAAATGCACAAAGTACTGTACTCCCTTGGAAGCTCATAAGCTTTGACAGAAAGTAGAATAAAGTGGTTGTGTAAAAAGCTTCAATATAATTTTTTTCAAAAAATCTTTTATTTTTATTAGCCTTAAATATTTTTAGCTCTTAAACAGGATCTTTTTGGAACACACACTCAAAATCCAATAATGTCTATCAGGCCTACGATAATGAGCCTTAATTTTTTCCCCTTTGAAATCATAACAAGTTATTATATAATAATTATAATAATATTGATTCACATCTTTTAAGTTTATAGACATACACACATATTCAGATATATAGATAAATATATATATATAGGCACTTTGTGTGTGTATATATATGTGTGTGTGAGTGTGTGTGTGTGTTTGTATCTATCAATTTAGATCTAGATCTAAGTATACTTATCCTGGTCTTGGTATATGAAGGTGACACTATTAACACCTGTTGAAAAGTTGTGGTGGATTATATTAAACTGGAAACATTCTCTTGCCCAGTTTCTTTTGTGACTCGTGAGGAACTTGGGTGATGGTATAAGGATAAAGTGGATTTCTAGATGGAAATAAAGATACAGTGTGTCTTGGTGGCCAAGAAAACAGATATGCTCAGCTGAATGAACATGAACTTGGTCTCATTAACTTCATGATACAAATCAACTGTGACAATCATTCAGTCATTCATGAAACATTTACTGAAGGTCTACTATGTGTTAATCCCTGAAGATAAAGTGAGTAAGATATGGGATTTGCCCAATATGGATTGAGTTTGTAACTGATCTAGCTACATTTAATGTTCTGTATATTACCTATAGAAATAATGTATATTCATACTGGAAATATTTTTTTATAAACCAACTATGCTGTTCCCAAGAATTTTTAAAAGTCTCAGTAGTTTTTGGTTATAATTTACACTAATTCTCATACATCACTCCTATTTACTTTATGAAGAGTATATCTTTCTATGTTGTTCTTTTTATGACCCAGAGCATAATTAAATATACGTTTGATTATTTATATTTTCTTCCAAGTTTTACAGATTATTATATTTCATAACATTTCTTTTGATCCTAGGAAAAAAAGAATATTTGCAATCAA